TGCTGAGGCAGATGAGGCAGATGAATCTGTCAAGACTAGGTGGTGATGGAGAGGTGGAGGGAGTGCACAACTACAGCAGAGGAAGAACCATATTTAAAATGAGGAGCAGTAAGATGATAGGCTTACAGAGAAGGTGTGTCACTGTGCTGTTGGTTGATTGTGAATCAGATGAATAACAGTTGATGACTCCATTGACAGACCCACACAATGACACCTAGCGACAGTGAGTGAGCATGCCTACAAGGAGTAAAAGAAAACTTACAGCCTGAGCATGAGAAGTATTGTCTTCCTGACTTTCACTAGATCTTCATTAGTGGTGTTTTTCGATACTGTGTCTCTGGATGCCTGCTGCTTACAGTCTGGCACCTTTTCGCTACCTTTTTATAAAGCCCCGACCTCACCTGAGCACTGTGGGGGTACACGCCCATAAATATGCCGAACACAGAAATGAGAAGAAAATAAGAAAACTTTTGTATGAGTCTATACATTGTTTTTATTGGAAAATCCTGCACAACAAAGACCTGCATCATAGCAGCAATCCTGTACATGTACAGCAGAATAATGCCCTTGTTTTCGTGTGTGTGTGTGTTACTTGAATGTGTGTCCTAACACTAAAATCACACTGGTAATGATGGGTAATTACTGCTACTGGGGTTCGTGTCACATTATTATACAGTGGAGGTTGCAGAAGCATCACGCCTGCACAGCTCGGCCCCAGCGACACAGATCCGTATCTCAGTGGACCAAGTAATCATGATATGTGTTTTTGTAGTCCAGTGAAAGCCATGTGTCTCCATATTTGGTGATGTTTAGGTTTAAAAATAAGACCGTTTTTAGTTCATGAAACGTTTGGAGATACGTGCTTTTCATTGTAGAGTGCAGTGAGAGCTTTATGTTTCAGGTTAAAGATTTGACTCATAAATGAATCATTATTTTTCTGTTCAGTGTTCAACACAATACAGCATGCTTCACACTTTCCCATAATGCTTAGCAGCTCCGGCATAAGAACAGTTTGATTCTGACCCTGAAAGTGGGGCAGCTTCTGTGATGATGTATGCACTGAATTAATGGAAGCACACACTGCATCAGCTTTTAGGATAAAAAGCTCCGTATGAAAAGGTGTCCTCTGCACCTCTTTATAACTTCACTCATAAGTCCATAATGTAACACAAACCAGTTTGGGAGAGGATGCAAGCACACATCCGACAAAAAGATTAATGATGATAATAAAAGATAATAATCCTCACGTTACAGCACTCTGGATGAGCTGATCCATATACAGCTTCCTCTACAGGGACATTAAAAGGGTTTTAGTCGACTTCTCATTTGCAAGAGTTTATTTGAGAAAACATTTGATTGAGCTTTTATCATTATCTAAGTTCTGACACATGCCTGAAAGCTTTGGTCATAAAAAGGCCGTGAGGGAAAGAGGAAGGAGAGGCTACATTTACTTAAGCATTTATCAGAGATGGAAAGACTACACATAGATGTTTCATACATTTTTCAGTTGAGGGTAAATTTTTCATCTTCCATCTCAACTTGATCACACTTCAAATATAAACGCTTGGTCAGTGGCCCTCAGCATCAGACACCAGCGCACAGAGGCACCCTCAGCAGCAGTATGAGACACATTGGGTGGCAGCACTGTTTGACGGTCCAGGTAACCACTGCTAACCATGTGTAACCAAAAGTCAATGGAGTTATTTTGATAACAACGTAGTGTGCTTGTATGTGTCACATTCTACGCTAGTGACATATTTCACATGACTTTAAATTATATTTGTAACAACCATAGTTTATATAAGCCAAAACATTATAACCGAAAGACTGAGATCGCAGATACAACCGGCCAAAATGAGTTTCCTTCGTGGGGTGAATGGGCTCAGCCTTAGAGATAGGGTAAGGAGCTCCAACATCCAGAGGGAGCTCGGAGTAGAGCCGCTGCTCCTTCGCGTCGAAAGGGGTCAGTTGAGGTGGTTCAAGCATCTGATTAGGATGCCTCCTGGGCGCCTCCTGCTGGAGGTGTTCTGGGCACGTCCCACTGGTAGGAGGCCCCAGGGCAGACCCAGAACATGCTGGAGGGATTACATATCTCATGGCCTGGGCAAACCTTTGGTTCCCCAGGAGGAGCTGGGAAGCATTGCTGGGGAGAGACACGTTTGGGGGGGATTTGCTTGGCTGCTGCCCTGGCAACCCAGCCTCAGATAAGCGGATGAAAATGGATGGATGGATGAGCAGAAACTTTACATCCAGTAAAAACAGTGTATTTTAAAAAGCGTAAATTGATAGGCAATCCCCTGGGCATCCAAAACTGACGCAGGAGGGTACTCAGCACATTACATTTAGACGTGTGAGTCCACTGACATGGTGTGAATGAGAATGTGTTTTCAATCAGAAAGTGCTGATTTCTATAGTCTATAGTCGAGGCATCTTTATTTATATAGCCCAATATCACGAATCACAATTTGCCTTGGGGGGCTTTACAATCTGTACAGTGTACAACACCCTCTGTTCTTTAGACCAGTGGTTTCCAACTGGTCCAGCCACGGGGTCCAGATTTCTCCTAAGTCATTAGTTCGAGGTCCATACAGTTTAATCAGCATCATACTTGCGTTTGGCCATGTTGTTGGGCTAGTTTGGTGTCTCTGTAAAGAAGCTGTTGGTTAGTCACTCACTCTACGATGGAAAACAGCATTTCAGAATAAAAGCTTTGTGCTGGAAATTTACTCTACTTAAAAATAAAGTGATTTTTTTTTTTTTTACAAAACTGACACGTTACCGAGTCACTTGCAGTCCATTCAGAATGGGCCTGTGACCCACTTTTGGACTGCAACCCACCAGTTGGGAAACACTGCTGTAGACCATCATAGCAGGTAAAGAAAAACTCCCCCCAAAAAAATTAACAGGGAAGAAATGGAGTAAACTTCAGGAAGAGCAACTGAGAAAAAAAACCCTGAACTGACAGACGTGTAATAGATGTTGTGTGAACAGACCAACATAATAAAATGACAATATAGACAATGTATGTAACAAACATAGAATGTTAACATATGAAACAGATGGATCCAGGAGGATGGACAGTGTGTTTGACTTTGAGTTATCTGGTATATTTAACATGGAGGCAGTCATTTCAGTTATCAGTACAAGGCCATGATAACAAAATTACTGCTAAATGTTTAAAAAAAAATACCAAAAATGTACAAATTATATGATATAAACAGTTTGGTAAACTTTTTAACCTGTTTTGTAGATTGCAAATCACAAATGTTGGTTCAGTAATTATATAGCATGTAAATCTGTTGAGGATTTCTTTCACCAGGATGTGGATTTGGTTTTATTTAAAGACTGTGGGATGTAAACTATCTGGACAGGGTAACAATGTCCTGTAAATGAGACCTCACAGCGTGACTCGATCCATTATTGAAATCGTGCCTGCATTCCTTTGTCGCAGTTTAAACCCTTTAATCAAAGACTAGCAAGTCAGTGTTGGTCAGTGTGCTGCTCTTTGACCTTTTGCTCCCAGCTGACGTCACGGCATCCCCTCTGTGTGTGCTCTCTGCACTCATTACATGACAATGATTTTATACTGCACACAGCGCTCTCATTGTTTGCTTCCCCCCAGCCATCACCTCCCACCTTTGGCACCCATAGCAACCAGACCATTTCATGTTCACATCCCTTTTTATGTGAGGGTGTCTCTGTGAGGTGACCTTGCTCTCAGAAGATTGACAACAAGGAGTTTAATTTGGAGCTGTACCTCAGCTGGATGGTCATCTGTCATGTTAACGGCAGCATCACCGCCCTTTTTACCTTCTTAAGCTTCAGACTCTCATCACAATTCCAGTGTGTTCTGACCATTTTCTGCCCATAATGTAGGCCTTCTGTTAGTCCTATTTTACTGTCTTATCTTGGGCTGTTGTGTCACAATCCACTGTTAAAGCAGCTATAATTGAAATTTTTATAATCAAATGATTTGTATCTGCAGCTCCCCTCGGCTATATGAAACTTTACAGTGAGGTAAAGCTCAGTATTTAGCTGTCCAGGTGCACCTTTACTGTCTTGCTTCACGCTCACCGTTCTCATAGCGTCGTTTTCAGACGCAGCAGGCTGCTGTTTTCAGCGAAAAAGCTCTGATGAACCCACAGCACACTACATGCTCAGCTTCAACCAGCAGACAGACACAGTTAGACTAGCTGATGAACACAGTGGAGCATTTAGGACTCAAACATGTGCTCCATAACTGCTGGATGTGAGAGTCTGACAAGTCTGAACTAAGATAAATGCTATGGCTTCATGTTTAAATCTTAGTAAAGTAATATGATGACAATATGAAAAGGTGTTTTATCTAGTTCCCAGGACAGGACTCTGAAAACTGTTTATGATACTGTGACCACATGCTGATATTGATCCCTCACACGCTGCTGCATGCACATCACGTCCTGTGCTAAACACTGCTGCAGCTGCAGTTCTCTCTCTCTCTCTCTCTCTCTCTCACACACACACACACACACACACACAGAGGAGCGTTTGCCCTGTCCTTCACCAGATTAATAAGACGAACCAGAGGGAAGGACTTCATCATCAAAGACATCATTGCACTGAATGAGCCACTGCAAGGTGAAAAATCCCAGCATCCCCGAGGACATCTTTTCTGTTTGAGGAGAAATGCATCATGATAATGGACAATATAAAAATGTAATGAGCACTGGGGGAAAGAAAGGACAATGGAGGACAATCTGAAGCTCACCTCAAAGCCTGTCCATTCCCCCAGATGTTTATCACACTGCATGACAATCAAGACGTTTAATAAAGGATTTTTAACACTGTGGCTGGTGTCACACACATGATCTGATGTTGTTACAGCTGTCAGCTTAATAGTAGAGCACTTCACCCTCTGAGGATGAAGTCACACAGGGAGAGACAGAGGGGGAGAGGGAGAGGAAATGTGACACACCCCCTGCTCTGCTGTTTGCTCCCCTCAGATCAACTATCAGATGGTTGGGTTTCCTCATCAGTGCGGACTGCAGACAGGCTTTTCCGGTCATTCCGTGCGTCCCGATGATCGCTGTTGCTGCTGCTGCTGCTGTGATGAAGAGGATGAGACTGTCCTGTGGCGGATCATCTGACAGACCGGACTGCTGAAGGCTCCCACTCGTTTCTCCTCGGATCTTATAAGACACCGGCAAAAGGTAAAAGCACCGGCGGGGACACTTGAGTCTGCCGGGACAAATGTCTGTGAGACAGAGAGCTGATGATGGTCGGAGTAGGAGGAGGAGGATGATAATAAACAACTGTATGTTAATAATTTAAGGTGTAAATATAGAGTATGTTTAATTCTAATTAACATGATGCCGAGAATATAATTCATAAATTGCGTAATGACGACATTTTTTTTTGCTGACCCGCCATCACCCATAACTTTATGACTATCTAGTGACCTGGCTGCTGCAGTGCACCCCAGGGTGCATTAGAGCTGTGGTTCCCAACCTTTTTCCTTAAGGGACCCCTTTTCTATCGAGGTGAGATTTATTATGGATGTTATATTAAATGCAGAACAATGATAATAAATGTACAAAATCCAAAAAGTGGACACAATAACTGCATGAGGTTTGCGTAAAATGAGAGATTTGGATTAATTTTGATCCGATTATTTCCTGTCAGTTTTGCATCAGAGGTGAGTTTTTCTATATTTTTTAGGAACTTTTTGTACAATTCCCGATCTGTATTATTAATGTTTCCATATAAGCCTGATTTTATGTTTTGTTTTGTTTTGTTTTTTGACAAATGTCATGTTTTCCTTCTCCCTGACTTTAAATTTTGGCCATTGTTCTATTTGCTCTTTGATTGTTTTAACTGTGTACATTTCTAAGGCAGGAGGCTCTGTGAATATAGCTTGTGTTCAGGTCTTCACTTTCAAATATTTGCCCTCATCTTGTGAGATGATTTTTAAGCTTATATCTTGAATAACAATTACAATACCATTTAGTTTTCTTTGCAGAAATTGACGAAATGCTGACACATAACAAAAAGCATTACTTACTCCCTGTAAAATCAAGAAGGCCACGTGACCCTCTCTGAGTGCATTAGAGCACGAGATGCTGGGAGTAAAATGACGTCTTTTATTTGGATGCTCAGTAAAACTGTGCTAATTTATTGATGTCATTGTCCACACAGCTCCATGAGTCTCCACCTTGAAGACTAGAACACATCCAGACTGCTGTAGTGTCCTGACATGATGGGGGGGTCACTCTGGATTTCCCATGGTGCCTCTGAAGCGGTGTTTAGAGGAAGGAGCTTCATCACTGTTCTACCTCTGGCTTTATTGTTGCCAACAGTGAGAGTCAGTGCACAGTTCATAGCAAGTCCTCTGGACTGCCAAAAGACCTGTGTGTGTGCCAGCAACATCGTCAGCTGTTCCAAGATGAATCTAACCAACGTCCCCATTGCTCTTCCTACATATACAGCTGTTCTGGACCTGAGCTTTAACGACATCACCAAGCTACGTGCTGAGTGGACCCCTGCGGCTCTTACCCGACTACACACCCTGCTGCTCAGCCATAACGGCCTCACCTTTCTCTCCTCTGAGGCGTTTGTTTATGTGACAAAGCTGCGTTACCTGGACCTTTCCTCTAATGGGCTCCGCCTGCTGGATGAGTTCATTTTTGAGCCACTGGAGCACCTGGAGGTGCTGCTGCTTTATAACAACCGCATCTCTCAGATAGACCGCTCTGCCTTCTCCGGCCTCGTCAACCTGCAGAGGCTCTACCTTAGCCAGAACATGATCACACGCTTCCCCTTGGAGCTGGTGAGGGAGCGGAGCCGGCTTGAAACTCTTAGACTGCTGGATGTGTCCTCCAACCGAATCAAAGCCCTGCCCCTCCATGAGCTTCAGGCTCTGCCCGCCTGGATCAAGAATGGCCTGTACTTCCACAACAACTCACTGCCCTGCAGCTGTGAGGTGCATGAAATGGTGGCACGCTGGCACCTCAAGGAGCTCAGCTCTGTCATGGACTTCAAGGACAGCCACACTTGTGTGTTACCAGGCCCACAGAAAGAGAAAATGGCCATACTGGACCTGGACAAGGTCTATTTGAACTGCAGTGAGGTGAAAATTTTGGACAAAGAAGCCTATCTGGAGCAGTTCCTGGTACTGGACTGTGACACCAGGGAGAAGGACATGAAAAAGTGTTGGGTGCTGCCTGGAAACATCCCAGTGTCTCCACTAGACAAGACATTTGTGGTGCGTCCTGATGACAGCCTTCAGATTGGCCCTCTGAAGGCAGAGGACTCGGGGGTCTACACTTGCTATGCCAACAGTGACTCCCTCAATGAGACAATATATGTTACTGTAATGGTGTTTAATTCCACCAAGAGTGGTGGACTGGAGAACCTAAAGACGGCCTACACCACCCTCGTAGCATGTCTGATCAGTATAGTTATGATTCTCATCTACCTCTACCTCACACCCTGCCAATGCGCTTGTTGTCCAGGTCAGGGCCTGACAAAAAGCGACGCCGGAGACAGCCTCCACTCCTCAACCGTTAGCATCTCTCAGGCACACGAAGAGACGGGGCAAGAACGAGTGGAAGGCGGAGGCTTCGCCTACAGACATGCGGCCTTCCTGCAACACAAGGAGCAGCTGGAGCAGAACGGGAGGTTGAACCCAATAGGTGAGGAAGATGAGGAGTGGCAGGGGGATAACACGGAGAGAAGGAGGTCTAACACAGAGTCTGTCAGCTCTGTGTGCTCTGATACCCCCATGGTGGTGTAACAGTCAGTGCATGGCCTGCAGGATTAGATAGTGATGGCTCGACTCACGTGGATGCACCACAGAGATTTCTATGCTTTGAACATGCAAGATTCAGAAGGTAAAGCATTAGTGGGCTCTCACAGCTGGCAGCACTGTTACAGTAGCATGTACAGTGAGTGGATAAAAAATAAAATAGAGCAACGTCTTGATTAAAAATCACCCCAAAACATGTCGAGAAATGTGGTTAAAATGAATTGTGAGCTAATATATTTTGATGAATGCATTTATTCTATGACTTTACTTAATTTGTCTTTTTAAAAATGCTTTTAATGCTCCTATTATTTCAATAATTTCACTTTTACTGCACATTATTGGCTGGATCTGCAAAAATAATTGCTATGCAAATAAGAACATACAAATTTAAAATATATTTTTAGCTTTTTTTATGGAAGTCCCTAAAAAATTAAGACATACTAACTCCTAGCACTAATTACTCAGAGACAACAAACAGCATGAAAGCCGCTTGCATCTAAACATCCTGAGACCGCACTTTAAATAAAAGTTATCCAGCTTTTTTATGCAGTCGGGATGAAGGCACTACAAAGATTCAAGTTTCAGTGATGTTGGACAAACGTTGCTGCTTGAAAGAGAAGCTACTTTTTATGCAGAGCTTGCAGAGCTCACCTAATTATCACTGCGAGATGTTTAATATTAATGCCGTGTTTTACATTCCTGTTTGGTTTTGTCGGCCTTTAGAGGACACAATACTGTAAGGATTACTCTTATGCAATTTTATCCTTTCATGTTATTTTAGATTTGAGGGTGATTTACGCTCAGTTAATAATATATGTGTTTGCAGTAAGTGACCTTCTGTTGAAGTGTTTTTTTAAATACTGCTTGGTATGCAAGTCTATTTTAAGTCGTGTTTGCTTCAGCGTAATGACAGAATCATTAAACCAGCCTGTTGTAATACATCGTACTTTTACTGTAATTCACTTTACTCAGAAATCATAATTTCTATTAAATTTAGTTTGATTTGTTTCTCCATAACAAGACACACATCATGACAAAAGGTTTTCAGATAAACATGAGGACATCCAGTGTGGTGGCAGTTATTAAAGGTATACTATGCAGGGATTTACCAAACAGACCTATACAAAAGTAATCCCTATCAGACATCACATATGACCTATACGAGATGTGTGGTGGTGTTTTTTTTCTGCAGAGTCTCTGCCCTCTGACTTATTTTGCTGTGTTCAGGACGTCTCTGGACACAGCACGCAGATGAGGTCAGGACGTTTTACAAGGTATAAATCAGGTGCCAGACTGTGAGCAGCACACATTAAAGAGGAAGCTACAAAAATATCAGGACCAGGGCCAATAAAATGCAAATATTGTGAGTCAAAACACCAACCAAAGTGGATCTGGGGTTGGTTCTTTGTTTCTCTTTTGCTGGCGATACTGTTGCTGTAGTGGCAGTCCATCTGAATATCATGAACGCCACAAATGAGCTGTCGGCAGAGTAACTTAAGTCTGACAGCTTAAAATGTTTACTTACAAAGTTGAAATTACACTTAGTCACACAGTAGAAAAACTATGTGCTCCCATGCCCTCCACATGATGCAAATTACAAAATTAAAGGGAGTGTTGTCATCAAAATCAACATACATGTATTTTAGTCTTTTGACATTTTTATACAATATCTAAGTTTTATACAATGTCTGGAAACAAATTCGGCATGATATTTAAATTAACTTATATTATATTTACACATTGTGGCTCCTATAGTTGCCGACAATTCCTGCATAGTATACCTTTAATGTAACACTGATCACATACACACTGACTATTAACAGATAGTACATGATATATCGGTTTAAGATGAGCCAGTTTCCACCCAGTAATTGAACTGCAAGGTACATTTTCAGGTGACACTGCAGAAAATATTGAACACAGAAACACCTTTTTAGTAAGAATAAGTTCCAGTATCTGTGTTAGACACAGACATTGATCTCCTTATTGCAGCATGTCTACTTATTCTAAATACTTTAGGCCTTATATGCATTCATGCCATTTTTAAACAGACAGATATATCACGGCTGACAACTCTTTGCCATCAGTGTAGCCACTGCAGGTTTCAGCCTCAGTTATTCAGTCTGAACTGTTTAGAAAGGGTTAATCATGTTCAAAAACACTATAAAGCCATTTCTAGTGTAGACTGGCTACATGACAGCACGGTCAAACTCTAAAATAAAATACCTACTTTATGCAGTTAAAACAATATGCTCGGTGTCAGACTCAGTCTGCTAACATAAATGTACATCCCGTCACATTGGGCCGTTAATAGCAGCCAGGAAGCATCGCCCCGAGGGAAACAACTGAGAGCAAGTACCATCCTCTGAATGCTTCTGGGCATTAGAGCCCAACCCTCAACAAATCAGCAAATGCCAGCCAGCAGTCTCATAAACACAGTCAGAAATAGCAGCTAGTAGTGCAGCCAGCAAACAGGCCGCCTGACGCTGATGAAATGTAAATATAGAAGTAGCTGTTTTCAACAAGTCTTAATTTCAGTGACATCGCTGGAATACCTTCAAATTGTTGATTTTAGAAGCTTGCAAATGCTGTTGTTCAGGCACACGAGGACGTGAATCAGAACAAGTTATGTTTTCACAAACTTTAAGTCACTGTCGCTGATGAATTATGATCATAGAATATAGTTTAAAGTAATGCTACTATTAATATAAACATAGTTATTCATACTAATAGAATAAAAACAGTGGAGCAAATGAAGAGCAGAACAGATGACACAAGTAGCAATGTACAGTGAATATACTTTTATTCCGAAATAACTACTAACCTGTGACTTTTCATGGTGCTTTTTCAAGATAGTTTAGGTGAATCAACACCTGTGAAAGTTATAGCTCTGAAAATATCCTGTCAGCGTGGTCTAATAGTATTATAACCTAGCTACATCATGAGGAACTCCACTGACGTGTATCTCTCAAAGGGGCACATACTGTCTACTGTATGCTAATGTTGTATATGCTGTTTCAAAGTTATAACCAAAGACTTCATGCTGAGAATAAATAGCCTACATGTTCAGTGTTTACAGTCAGCACAGTCATGTTATCATTAGTCTGTTGAAGTTACCTTCTGTATTTCTGTGTTACACCACAAACTTATTATATGCAATCCTGTATAAGGACTTACTGCATTTTATTATTTCCTGTATTGTATCTTGTCTGTTATTGTATTGTTCCTGTATTTCATAAACTGCAAAAATAAGGCAACAAAGAGTGAATGTTGTGTGTTGTATTCCTGTAAGGTGAATGCATTGAATCTACCAAACAGAGCTGCAGTCACAGAACGTTTAATGATAAAATTAAAGGAGTAGTTCAACATTTTGGGAAGTACGCTGATTTGCTTTCTTGTCCAGAGTTAGATGAGGAGATTGATGCCACTATCGATTAAAGGATAGTTCGGCTTTGTTGAAGTGGGGCTGTATGACGCACTTATCTACAATGTCAGTCGGCACACTCCCAGTTTGGAGAAGCAGTCAGGACTACCACCACATTAGCTAAGCAATGTACTGCTGTGGATGGGACACAGTGAAAGGTCCTTAGTGTAGCACATAAAGACAGACAATCGTCTATGTACAAAAATATGATATAATAAATGACATATGTATATAAATAAGACAAGAAATATCCCACACTACATCGTGCAAGTTCATATAAGAAGACATAATTCAATAAACTGCACCCACGAACAAGCTGGAGAGCCAGTGGCCCCACAGTCTCCATGAATGGATGATAACATTTTCTGCGACAGAGAGCCTGCACATATATCGATATATATATAAGATTTCAAGTAGGCACACCAACATTTACAACCACTTGAAAGTTTAAGAAGCAGTCTCTTTCCATTATTACAAGCCACATTAAGTCTTCCTATAGGAGCGCCACAGGTGGGCAGTATACAGCAAGGAACAAAATGCTCCAAAAAGAGTTATCTTCACATTAACTGACCACAAGCTGAATTTGCAAGCAAACATATTAGCTTGCGCATACAACTTGTCTGTGGATGCCCCTTATCATCAGATAAATCATTGACAATATAATGGCCGTGATATTGAATCTCATCACACACTTTAAGAGCAACACCAAATAAAAAGAAGTCAGGAAATACTAATTTTCTGTCTTCTTTACGTCTAACTATCATAATGTTGCTCTTATTAGCATTATATTTGATGTCAAAATCTGCACCATAGTTAGAGCAAATCTTTAACAGCTGTTGTGGGCCAGCACTTTACGAGCAGAAGAGCACCAGATCATCTGCATACATTAGCAGCAAAACTTATTTTAGACACCTTTTAAAAACAATATCAGTTTAAGGCCATGTCCACACAGAGATGAGATTAGGTGTATCCGCAAAGGTTTTTTATCGTAAAGACCTTTCGTAAACACGGAACCAGCGTTTTAGGAGACCAAATACGCCAACTTTTGAAACTGGGTCCCAGAGTGAAAAAATCTGAAGACGCCACCTTCGTGTTTCCGTATTTACAACACAGTACGCCTCTTTTCTGAAATGATGATGCCATAACCCCACCTCTCCCTTAACCTGCATGCGCTAGTCAACATTCTCCTGTAGTTTTGTAATCAAGTGTGACCCTAAGTGACAGCTCTACCTCATCGTCAGTCCATAAAAAGTGGGCTCCTCTAGCATTTGTATTTTCCGCCATCTTCTTCTTCGTGTTTGTTTACATAGCACGAGTTTTATGTGCATGCTCCATTTCTTATTCTCTGTCGTTGGTGTACTTTGTGGCAGCGTTGCAGCACCACTTACAGGCCTTGCATATATACTACAGTGTTTTCAGTGGCTTCATGTTTACGTACACATATCTTTAGACGATTCCGTGTTTATGGAAAACTTTTAAAAAACAAAATCGGTTCCCTTTTCGTGTGGAAATGGCCTAAGTGTGTGCTATATTGAGAATATTTTCACCGCTTGACCTTGCCCTCAGACAGCCCTTTCTATTGACCATTGAACTTTGTTATTCTTATGTATAAGTACAAATGTGCCACAAACTGTATTGGGCCACTGGTCAGCTGCTCGGGTCAGACTTTCAGTGGTTTATGTGAGAGTCAACAATCTCTCAGTCTTTCTGCAAGAAGTGACTAAGCATGTTTCCCCTCAACTCCAGAGTGTTCCAGATGTGAGATGTGACAGAAGAATGTGATTATGACCTGATCTTGACGTGTGTTTAGACTAAGATCAGGCTCAGTCGGCCAAGTTAGCTGGCTTCAGTTCCTGTGTTACATTAATGATACAGCCTTGCTCACTTGAGGGTGAAACAGGAGACCGCACAGCTCGCTGGTGTGGAAACTGTTCACCCAGGGAGTCTAATTTTTATTGCACCTGTCCCTCAGACTTACTTTCTTCTGGCAACCTTCGGTGTTGCTGCCTTTTCACCCTTATTTGGGTTGTTGATCACAGGATCTCCCTGAGCAGAGCGAGCACTCTGGTGTGTGTTCACTCTCCTCTGCCAGGACAAAATGGTCAGCAGTGTTATATTGACCTCAGACAACCTGATGTTTGACATCAAACTATCTTTATGTGGAACATGTCCTCATGTGACACTGCAGAATCATTATCAGGGGTTAATTTTTTGTGGAGAAGTTGGTCCATCTTTCTGACAGCTGCTGCTGCTGCAGTGTGAAACCTCTGAGGGATGAATGATTGAAGAGGTCTATAGGGATGTCCATGCTCCCTTTGTCAGTCACTGCCATCTCATGTTACCATGTTCACCCATGATGCATGTGATACCAGCCAGGTGTGTGTTAACAGACTAAACCATTTGGACAATGCACTGCAGCATCACATTCAGAGTTTAAAATGACAAATTTTAAATGGAAAAACTGCCTGAATAAAAGTGTCCATAGGAGGCACGAGAGGGTTAATGATCTGTGTGTTGTTGCACGTGTTAATATGGGAAAGAGCTGAATGACGCATCCCCGTAAATCACAGATTATAATTAGAACAAAAGCAGCAGCCTAAAGAAAATCTCAGATCACTGAACATCACAGAAACAGATGGCATGAATGTAAGCTGGCGCCTGTTGACAATGAATGACTGGCGGCCAGTTCTGTGTTTTAGAGACTGAATTCTAAGTAAGATGACTCATCCTCTCCTCAGGCCCCTCCCAGGAGAATCACATGAATGGTGAAGTGGCTGTGTGTGCAGCTCACTGAGTCCTCTGCCATCTAGTGGCCACCAACACACAGAGCCACACTGGAGTAAAACATTTGGGATGATAACAGAATATTCTAGAGTAACTTTCAGGCATTTGAATCCCTGAATTCTTCCTTTACAACAAAGACATGCTGACTGTAAGATCCGAGAGGTTATATTTTATTAGTTTCATTCATAAATATGAATGCTTTTACAGGACTGTGGTTAGAAATATATAACCAGTGACTTTCTCTAGCTGACAGACTTGGGACTCTGACATATCATTATCATTTTAAACTGGCTGTATTCACACAGCCTGAGCGAAGCCCACCCTGTTGTTGTTGATGTCAAAGACGGTGTAGAACTGTCGCATGAAGACCTCACCCAGGATCCACTCGCCGGGAGCAAACCCTGTCCTGCACCCAGACGCAGACTGAGGAGAGAGAGGACAGAGAATATGACCTTGGGTTATATAAATACTAAAACACAGAAATAAATCTGCTCAGCTACTTTGCTTCTGTGTTTTTTATTAGAGAAAATATGGTACCACTTTCTAATACTGCATACATAAAGACTTTATATGTTACAACTAATTAATTTTGAAGGATGCAATTTTTGGTGCTTGTAAACTGTCCTGTTGTCTACATATATGAATTATTAAAGCAAACATTGCTACTAACAATGGCTTAAATTATTCATGGCGTATTAGATGCTGTACTAATGTTAATAAAGGCATGACTTGCAACTATTAACTCTTTAATTACGCCTTAGAAAGTGGTACCATGTATCACTGCGCTTAGATCACAAACCTTTATGACGTAGGCTGACGGAGGGAGAGCGAAGCTGTAGCCGTTTATGTTGAACACAATGTCCTGCATGAGCTCTGTGTTACTGCAGCTCACAGTGAACTGAGAGACAAACAAAATGTTAATTGTTTTAAAATCCAGAACAGTTCACTTTACATGTAATATTACACAGAACATTCAACACACTCACATCACCGTACTGATCTGCGAAGGCTCCCAACCAGCCGTTGATGTTGTTGATATCTTTGCTGGGGCCAATGATGAACGAAGTACCAGAGTCCACGACTGCTGCACAGCTGCCAGAGCACGCAACTGTGTTTCCATTGATGGTGATGCTGCAACATGAAGGAGGGGGAGAAAAAATGTCATTTGTGAGGTGACTATATTGTTTAAATCCCAACATAGACACGTAACATGAACAGGAAACTACACCTTTGTATCTGGATGTTCCAGTAGTTAGTGGCCTGATACAGAGGGATCCACTTTAAGCTGCCAGTGTAATACGATGAATCCGTGCCACCCAGAAATAACATGCTGCCTTCTACAGAGCTGGAGGGAAAGGAAAGGGAAATTGAGCACTGCATCATTCATAAAAACAACAGTATTGTTTCTCTGTTGGTGACTCACATAAGACCTCACCTGCTCAGGTACATGGAGAACATGTTCTGGGGGATTTTGCCCTGGCTCCACATGTTGTCAAGTAAAGGTGTACCTCCCTCAACTGACAGACCAGGAAAGGCCAGACCAAGAATCCCATCCCAGGGCATAAAGCCCAGGAACTCTGCTTCATTGTCAGTGAGGCCGAAGATCTGATGCTCCACGGAGAGGTCGCTTATCTGAAAAATCACATTTTATGGCTTTTAGAAAGGGCAGATTGTAAAAAGTATTTTAGTATTAAAACTAAAAGTACTTTCTTTGGGAATTATATATTCATTATATATTCAAATCAATGCATAAGTAGCATTCAAGTTGGAGCCAGTATCTGCTTTATAGAAGCATGTAAACAATATGTCAGAGGCTTTTATCAATAGGACAGTATTAAGTGTAAAAGGGGGAGAGAAAGAAAGGATGATATGCAGCAGGGGGCCCACAGCTGCTGCAGCAAAGACCTTGCCTTTGTGCATGGGGTACCTGCTCTACCCACTGAGCTGGTGGAGACCCCATTAAAACTAGATATGATGTAGTTCATGAGAGAGACAGTTTTCCAGAGACAAAATGAGAGAAGGGAGTTGGACTTCTGTCTGATCTTGCTTTTCTGTGTAATAATGAAGCCTCCAATATTTATTTTAAAGGTCCAGTATGTAGGATTTAGAAGGATATATTGGCAGAAATAAAATGCAGTAATCATAACTATGTTTTCATTAGTTCATAATCACCTGTAAGGTTTATATCTACATATGGAGCACATGCTCCTCCACAGAATCCACCATGGTGTTTCTACAGTAGCCTAGAAAAGACAAACCACACACTGGTTCCACATAGAGCCATTCACCTTTTTGCATTTTCATGTCTGCCACTATAGTTCTCCTTCACACTTGGCACATGGGAGAAGTTTCAGTTGGTTGCAACCTGCAACCTAGCCACTAAATGCCACTAAATCCCACACACAAAACCTTTAATGAAACTATGCAACAAGTTTACAGCTGTGTTTCCAAACTGGTCCAACCACAGGGTGCAGATTTCTCCTTAGGCATTTGCTCACCGTCCACACAGTTCAGTGTATTCAGCGTCATACTTATGTTTGGCCATGTCATTGAGTTAGTTTGCTGTCTCTGTCATATAGCTTTCCATTAGTCACTCACTCTACAGCAGGTAACGGCACTTAAAAGTAAAAGCTCTTTGCTGGAGATTTACTGTACTTCAAAATAAAGTGTGTTTTCTCCCTTTGGGACCCACTTTTGGACCAGGATCCACAAGTTGGGAACAACTGGTTTAGAGCAATTCATAACAACTGATAGACTGATAGAGGAAATGTGACAAGGAGCCCAAACTACACATTACATGGATTCAATCTTTAATGATATGTTGTATTCTTTAAGTGGATCATATGTTTGTTTTTTTTTGTAAAATATTAATCTAAAAAGAAGCTGTCAAGTAATGTAGTGAAGTAAAAACAAGATATTTCCCTCTGAACTGTGACTAAAAGTTTTACTAAAAGTTACTTTGCAGCAGTCGGTGATGAATACGGTGTGAATGTTTTATGAATATATCTAATCCTCACATGTATGATGTCATATCCAGTGCTCCCTGCTGCAAATCCACTGTTGTATGAGATATAGAAGGTGTTTGTGGCGGCCTGAAACGTGGAGGATGCTGAACTGCTGAACTTCACGTGTTTGTCTAGTAGCAGTGAGACAGAGAGAGAAACCAAAGAAAACATTTCGTAAATTTTTGCTTCATACACAAAAACATTCTCTGTCACAAAGACCTAAAATATCCACATGCTCTTAATTCAGGAATATAGTAAGAACTAGGGCTGCAACTAACAGTTCCTTTCCTTTTTCCCGTTATACTCACCGCAAGCAGAGGTGGTGCAGCTGACAGAGGGAACCCACAGGTCGGAGGAGCCGGTGTCAAAGAGAACTTTAAAGACCTGAGGTGGAGTCCCGATGCTGATCTCTCCATAGTATGTTGTCTGTGCCCAAATTCAGATTATATATTAGTCCATGTATTTCGTGTTCACACAGGGGCAGAGTGTACAGTGGTTACATGCTACTCACATCTGGGTCAAAAGTCATGGGCACCACACTCTGCTCGTTCCTGGGGACAAACTTTGCCGCAGGGTTGAATGGAAACTTCCTCCTGTACTCTTCAAACAGGCCTCTCTCCTCCAGCTCCTGCCTGGCTGACTTCCCTCTCATCAGGGGAATCCTGAACACACAGATTCACAGTTATCTGGACGCACACTCACAAGCATTTTTGGGAATATGTCAGACCTCATAACTTATCCTAAAAAGGAGTTTCAGCTGGGGGGGGTAGTTTAGGGAAGTAGAACGAAAAGATAAAGTGCTGTGAAAAGGTCAAGAGCTTGTGTTGATCATAAGTGGCTGGACTAATACAGCCCTTTTATCCAAAGCACTTTATAATTTGCCTCACACACACTGAGAGCAGCATAATTCAGTCACTAATTCAGCATCTATAGACAGACTCAGTCTCGTGATTAAAAAAAATCAATTTAAGGCTTGTAGCTTAATCATTTTCATCTTAAGAACTACTGTTAATTCTGTGTGTCTAAAATCATTGAATATCACAGCGTTAACACTGCTTTAAGGTGGATTTTCTACTGTTTAGAGTATTACACATCTTTATTTGAGTAACTGGTGTTTTCTTTTCCCTATTGAATACATTTCTGAAACTTTACAAAGATCTTAAAACCTTTTCTGAAGACCCTAAAATCATTTGTAGCTGTTGCCATAAAACATCTCTTTGAAGACAACTTGCTACTTAAGCCAGAGCATTTTATATCTGTTTATTCCACCTTGATTCAGTCCTGACCATCAAGTACCTGCTGCCCTTTTAAAGTGGCTTCTAATGTGTATTGTGTTTTTATGTAAATGTGTGTTAATCTGTCCTGTCTGGATGTGATATAATGTGTGTTAATGTGTCTATTTAATAGCAGATTTTGCACATTCATTCATTTATTTTCCATGGCTGCTTTTCCTGTTGGGGGTTGCAGGGGGGCTGGAGCCTATCCTACAGTAGCTGACATCGGGCGAGAGGTGGGAGCCTGACACACAGAGACAGACAACCATTCACATTCACACCTATGGGCAATTTAGAGTCACCAATTAACCTGCATGTCTTTGGACTGTGGGAGGAAACTGGAGGTCCCGGAGAAAACAAGCTGACACGGGGAGGATACGCAAATTCCATACAGAGGGGCTCCCACACCCCAAGGTTTGAACCCTCCACCCCCAGATTTGAACCAGGAACCCTGTTGCTGTGAGGTGACAATGACAACCACTGCACCACCGTGCCGCCCACACCTTACACATGCAAAAAGTAGACAAAACTTATTTTCTATTCTGAATTCTTTTTATCAAAGATGTGAGAAAAAACTACAGTTGGAATAAAATTAAGATCAAGATGATGGCACCCAGTAGTGTATGGTAGTTAGGATGGGCCCTGGTGCACATTATTATGATGGTCCTTAGTGCAAGATTTTGCATCTTCACCAGTGGTGTAGTAAACGGCATACTCAGGTATGCAGGGTATACCCACTTCTTTTTCTATCCAGTTACAGTATACCCACCTATCAGCTAAAAAGCCATTGTAATATATAGGAGCGTATGCCCACTTCCTCATTGGTAACCTACCTATGTACCTAGCAGTACACCCACCTCATCAATTACCACTACACCACTGATCTCAACCATCTACCACTTCACATTGAACAACATCAACGTTCCTATTACCCAGCAATCGTCAGCGCAAATCTGTATATGACACAAATGCCAAGTAAAACAAGAAAGTATTCATTCAATTGAATATTTTAGTTATTTGTGGTTTTAAAATATCTGTAAAGTAAACATAGAACTTAATTGTAGAATACATTGCTACTGACTTTTTTTACATAAAAAAGAAAGAAAAAGAAACCATGATGGAGATGGCTTTGCCTTTATGAGGGCATATACAGCAGCAAGCCCCTTATCAAATTTAACATGTGGTGTTCTTTGAACATGGGTGTATTTCAATCTGAATGAGTTACAAGAGCCCATTTTCTGGCCAACACACTGTTGGAGGGCCTGCTTTACAGTCCCATGGGCCCCAGTGCAGTTGCACTACATGCACTGTCTATATTTACGCCCCTGATGGCACCGAACAACTCAACAAAAAGCTCAATCTGAATAATATTTAATTTCTGAGACAGACCTTTGCAGTGTAATTTTACTTTAATTTCTAGGTTGTCTTAAATTCTTGGCAAAGCTCTCCAGGATTTCACTATTTTAAATAAATGTTCAAATATTTAAAAAATAAATCTTGGCAAGTATGATCACTCTATCCCCACTCTCTTTAAACTATTACAGCAATTGACAGTAACAAAAAAAATAAATAAATAAACCCTCAGCAGCCACACTCAAAGCAAAAGCATGTTAAATAACATATTTTTATTTTAATATAAGTGAGTATTTGTCGTATATCTTACCTGACAACTCCCTGTGAGATGGCCAGAAAGGCCAGCAACACAAAGGCAGACTTCATCATTTCAAAAGTGACCCCATACGCATCTCACAGAAGGGCGGCTGGTGTTTTTATAGAGAGGTCGACACAAATCTCTGCTCCTCCTTTTAACATTAACACTCACAGTTTAACAACCGAGCTGATAAGAAACCACTTTATAGGGTGTCAAATGACTGAATTCAGATAAAGAAAACAGTCCTTTAATCTAATGTCAATCAATTTACAGTTCAGAACATAGTATAAGTTTACTCACTTATCTAATTACTGTAGGCTTGGACCAGAAATCAGTATTAAAAGTCAACACATCCCCCGCTAACATAAAACAAACTGTCATGTGTTAACAGTGTGTTGAATATAAATTGCTATATAATGAGTTTGACCGTTCCTTTGATTGTTTCTGTTAATAATGAACTGAATAATAAAGAGAACGTCTTTTATGTGCCATTTTAAGGTACACTGACATTCAGACTGTAAGTACAGAGTTATGGATGACAGTGTGCTGTATATTTGTAGGCCTGTTTTACACCATTACGTTTAAACCTTACTGATGGAAATACACTTTCTTTAGTTTCATTAAACTATTTGATTTATTAGTCTGACATCTGGTTTTAAAAGACAGATCAATGAATTTAAAATGAAGTACATTAAGTGAATTTTAGCAGACAGTTAGGGGTTAAAAAGTGCTCCCATCATTTGATGTGTCAGACAACAGAAACCTGCGATTTGATTTCAGCACCTTCTCCCATGGCAGGCGCAGGTATGTAGGTTATATAAGTGGTGGAGGCACAGTGAGTTTTGACCTTTCCCTGCTGACGCTCTGAATGAGTTTCTGTTGACTTTTCTCATCTATAGTTTGTACTTAGAGGAAAGAAATGTAAAGTGTTACTGAATACAGCAACTGAAAAGGTCCCGCTGTCCATGTTGCTGACTTTGACAAAAAAAAAAAAAATCACTTTAATTTGAGCTCTTTCACACTGGAAAAGACAATCTCGCTACTCTAATGGCTTTTAAATGATAGAGTAAAAGCCTGTGAACCAAATGTTATTGACATTAGTGTGAAAGAAGTTCAACTTCTCACAACAAAATTCCTCACCTGTCAACCATAAATCAACTGGATAAGCTTATCACATTACTTGTATATAAAAAAACACTGATACTGTATCGTTTCCCCCTCCAAGCACGTATTCTGTTCATGTGCTCTGCAAGTTTAATATTGGCTGACCAACTCTGCCCTCTAGAGGACAGAGACCACTCAGATACAACCTGTCATTTCAATGTCACTGAATGCTCTCACACACTGAAACAGGAAGGATGTCATGAAAAAAAACACACAACCTCAGAATGTTTCTAAAAGAGCTGATTTTATTCAATCACAAATGCCACTGACATGATTTATATAAAATACTACAAGGTGCAAATTTTCAAACTAATTTAAATTGTACTCACCGAGGCACAGTTTCTCTTGTCTGATGAATTCCTTCACTGTGCAACAACTTGTTCACTGAAGCTGCACAGAGCTCATTCAGTCACACTGCAGGTTAATATGAGCTTTTCAAGAGACTGGACAAAGAGGGGTGTGTTCAAAAAATGTTTGGACACTGTTAAGTCAGAAAAAAGTCATGAAAACAAAGGAAAACAGCACATACTGCATTCATTATCACATAATGATCTCGAGGTTAAACCTTCATACAGGTAAACAACACTGCTGTATATCACACACACAGTACAGGCCAAAAGTTTGGACACACCTTCTCATTCAATGCGTTTTCTTTATTTTCATGACTATTTACATTGTAGATTCTCACTGAAGGCATCAAAACTATGAATGAACACATGTGGAGTTATGTACTTAACAAAAAAAGGTGAAATAACTGAAAACATGTTTTATATTCTAGTTTCTTCAAAATAGCCACCCTTTGCTCTGATTACTGCTTTGCACACTCTTGGCATTCTCTCCATGAGCTTCAAGAGGTAGTCACCTGAAATGGTTTTCCAACAGTCTTGAAGGAGTTCCCAGAGGTGTTTAGCACTTGTTGGCCCCTTTGCCTTCACTCTGCGGTCCAGCTCACCCCAAACCATCTCGATTGGGTTCAGGTCCGGTGACTGTGGAGGCCAGGTCATCTGCCGCAGCACTCCATCACTCTCCTTCTTGGTCAAATAGCCCTTACACAGCCTGGAGGTGTGTTTGGGGTCATTGTCCTGTTGAAAAATAAATGATCGTCCAACTAAACGCAAACCGGATGGGATGGCATGTCGCTGCAGGATGCTGTGGTAGCCATGCTGGTTCAGTGTGCCTTCAATTTTGAATAAATCCCCAACAGTGTCACCAGCAAAACACCCCCACACCATCACACCTCCTCCTCCATGCTTCACAGTGGGAACCAGGCATGTGGAATCCATCCGTTCACCTTTTCTGCGTCTCACAAAGACACGGCGGTTGGAACCAAAGATCTCAAATTTGGACTCATCAGACCAAAGCACAGATTTCCACTGGTCTAATGTCCATTCCTTGTGTTTCTTGGCCCAAACAAATCTCTTCTGCTTGTTGCCTCTCCTTAGCAGTGGTTTCCTAGCAGCTATTTGACCATGAAGGCCTGATTGGCGCAGTCTCCTCTTAACAGTTGTTCTAGAGATGGGTCTGCTGCTAGAACTCTGTGTGGCATTCATCTGGTCTCTGATCTGAGCTGCTGTTAACTTGCGATTTCTGAGGCTGGTGACTCGGATGAACTTATCCTCAGAAGCAGAGGTGACTCTTGGTCTTCCTTTCCTGGGTCGGTCCTCATGTGTGCCAGTTTCGTTGTAGCGCTTGATGGTTTTTGCGACTCCACTTGGGGACACATTTAAAGTTTTTGCAATTTTCCGGACTGACTGACCTTCATTTCTTAAAGTAATGATGGCCACTCGTTTTTCTTTAGTTAGCTGATTGGTTCTTGCCATAATATGAATTTTAACAGTTGTCCAATAGGGCTGTCGGCTGTGTATTAACCTGACTTCTGCACAACACAACTGATGGTCCCAACCCCATTGATAAAGCAAGAAATTCCACTAATTAACCCTGATAAGGCACACCTGTGAAGTGGAAACCATTTCAGGTGACTACCTCTTGAAGCTCATGGAGAGAATGCCAAGAGTGTGCAAAGCAGTAATCAGAGCAAAGGGTGGCTATTTTGAAGAAACTAGAATATAAAACATGTTTTCAGTTATTTCACCTTTTTTTGTTAAGTACATAACTCCACATGTGTTCATTCATAGTTTTGATGCCTTCAGTGAGAATCTACAATGTAAATAGTCATGAAAATAAAGAAAACGCATTGAATGAGAAGGTGTGTCCAAACTTTTGGCCTGTACTGTACTGTAATAAGTGGCAGAAGGATTCAGATATTTCACTGAAGTGAAGTAGCAATACTACAGTGCAGATATACATATTTTCAAGTAAAAGTCCTGTTTCAAAATTTGACTCAAGTAATAGTACAAAAGTATTAGCATCAAAATGTACTTAAAGTACCAGAAATCAGCGTACTCATTGTGCACATTGGTTGATTTCAGAATAATGTATACTATATTTTATATTATATATTGTATATTATATCCATTTTGCATAACCACTTATCCTGTTAAAAATCACAGGGGGCTGGAGCCTATTCCAGCTGACATTGGGTAAGAGGCGGGGTACACCCTGGACAGGTCACCAGACTATCACAGGGCTGATTAACCTGCATGTCTTTGGACTGTGGGAGGAAAGCTGGAGAACCCTGAGAAAACCCACACTGACACATGGAGAACATGCAAACTCCACACAGAAGGGCCCCCGATTATTGAATCATAAGTTTAAGTAAAGGTACAGTATTTCCCGTTATGCAGAATTGCCCATTTCAGAGTAATATTAATAATACTATTTAATATAATTGGATTATAATTGTTGATGCCTTTGTTTTGTACTTCACTTTAATGTTACAGCTGGTAAAGGTGTGGCTAATTTTAAGTATTTTCAACACTGCTGACGAGTTTGTGAATTTTATTCCAAGTCTTATCTTAGCCTATTTTGTATTATTAATCTGAATCTGAAATGTAACTAGCAACATATCCTGTCATAGTGCACACAAAGTACATTTACCTCTGAGATTTAGTTGAGTATAAGTATAAAAGTATGTTGCATAAAATGGAAATATGCTAGTAAAGTACGAGTACCTACAAATCATACTAAAGTAAAGTACTTGAGTAAATGTACTTTCCACCACTGCACAGAACATTTCTTGTGAATTTTCTTAAGGACACTTTATACACGATCAGTAGATTCTTTTTATAAAAAGTGCTTAAATTATAGAAAGTGTACCTAATTTTGACTCTACAGCTCACAGCTATACAATAAATACAGCACAGGCTGTTTACAGGTGCCTTTTTTTTAGAAACTCATTCAGTTCACTGAGAGCCATCTGTCAAAATCACATGTAGAGTTATTTTCTAAAACACAGGAAACAGGAAGAAAGTCCTTCAGCTTGTTACCACTGGAAGATAAAATCAGGGGATGAACTAAGAACTGTGAAGTAGGTGCCGACTGTGTTGCAAAACATCGTTCAGCAAACAGGTATTGAGTAAAAATTAAGTATAACCTCACTAACTCCTATGGTTCGGTCAGCATGTCATCGATTAACTAATCATTATCTTACCCTGACTCAAGTTTCAGCTCTCCTGTTTCTAGTTTTTAGCTTTACGCAGGGTAATGCACATTTACTGTGTAACCCTCACTTAAGTTTAATACTTTTTTAAGGTCGTTTTTAGAATTTTTTTAGCCAAATTTAAGAGATTTTTGGAAAAATCATCTTTTTATTATTTAGGCATTGCAGGTAAGTAGTAGTGAGTTAGGTTAATGTACATTTTGATTGCAGGTATGAAGTAGAAGGACAGCATTGGGTCCAGTGGTAGGTTTAAAGCTTTATGACATCAGAAATTATACAAGAAATTAAAAGGTTGATTAAGGTGATAAGATAAAATGTTTGTAGCACTTGAACCTCACAAATTCAATTTTAATTCTGTTTGATGACTTTTAAGGCCTAATATTTATCAAACTGAAGACATTTGAAGGCTTCTAGTGAGCTGCAGGCACCGTTATATTCACTGAACACACCCTTATTGTTTACATAAGCATCCTAACATCTCTCATCAAACAGATTACACTCACTGTTTGTATTAACAAAACTGTGAATCTGTGGCAAAGTTCACATATCTGATGTATGACTGATTACGACCCACTGTATGAAGAAATTAATTGTCCCCTGATTAACACCCATCATAACCATTTATGAGTTTGTTTTCACTGAGTGCAAGATCAAAAACTTTTCTGCCCAGAAAGCTTTAACGTGAAAACAGATGACAACTTGAAGCCCAATTTTTTTAACAAACATTCAATTCGCCATCTTAAATTTCTTCCTGTTTGCTGATGCAGTTTTGGCATGTTTGGAACATTAAGTCCTATTTTCTTTATAACTGAACATCATTTTGCAGAGGTGAATGTGTCAGTTACTCAAGCAGAGTATTTAGTTTTTATGTCTATAAGATTTATTATGATGCTACTTATTGATATTCACCTATAACCAGTGGTGGAAGGCAAGTTTACATTTTATATAGTTACTGGTTAATTTGCAGATTAAGATAATACAAAACATATGACTACCTAATAAAATATACTGTTGCTCTGATAACTTAAAAGGACCTGAGTACTCCTACCACAACCATGACTGACTAGTGTAGCTGCTTTTGTTGTTGAGCTAGCTGATGCTGGTGCAGTTGTGACCAACACTGCGAGTTCTTTTTGTAATTAGACAACTACACAAGTGTCAAAAGTCATGACAGAATATACCTTAGAAAGTTGAGTAAGCAAAAAGTCCCAAGATACTGATATATTTGCTTAACATGGCAGTGTGTATTAATTTTGTTTTTACTTTAGGGACATCACAGTTTTAGTAGTTTATCTTTTTATCCTCTAATTAGCTTTTGAATATGGCCTAATGTGTCTGTGGGAGTCTCACACATTTTAATACGTACCTGAGTCAGTAGTTGAGGCCATCTCTATACTGTACCTGTGGACCAGGAGGAGGTGTAGCCAGGGTGAGACTCAAACCTTTCACAGCTCCTGGAAGCCTTGAATCCAGCCATGGCACCGTGTGGACACTTGCTGCTGCTCAGGTCCGTTTTCTTTGGAGGTGAAGCAGCAATGAGCAGGAACAGCAGCGTCTTGGTGATAAACATCCTGACTCAATGATAGCAGGATACTATTCACCTTCATACGCAGTTTAAAAGTGTGTAAATCAACATATCAGCTAAAGATAATGATTCCCTGCACAGGACTCTGTCAATCTGTTCTCCTCTGTTGTGTTTCCTTTCCATTTTAAGGCAAATAAAGCAGATGCTGTGTCACCGTCTCAACCTCTTCTCCGACACAGGATGAGACGCATTCGAAGTCTGGCCCTAGCACAGAGATCTTCTTCAGAACTCCGATGAAAGAACAATAAGCAACTACACAAATGAACTCTGCTCCTTCTCGAGCTGCTGCACATGCTGAAACAATACTCTGTGTGCTGCTGGAGCCAGATGACAGAGAAGACCGGGGCCTTTGAACGCCGCTGTGCTTCCGCTGAGAGGTGGAGACGACCCCGGTGATTCTGGCAAAGCTTGGAGAGTGACAAAGCAGGCGGTCTGAGGACCATCTGAAGCCACACATCTGAAGAGATACAGCGACTAAAGTATTCTAGTATGGCCAAATTTCAACGTGAATGAAGCTCTTCACAAAGAGGTCATTCAAACAAATGATGATCAACAAAATGAAAACACAGAACAGAGAGGCTGACCTCCCACTGATTCTCACACTTCCTCTCCTTTTTCTGCTGCGAAGACTCCTGCTGTCAAAGTGATAACGCCCTTAGAGTTTGATAGACAACTCCAAGAACAGAAAAGGTCACAAAAGTTGTCTTCCGAGGCACTCGTGTTTCCCACGAAAGAGTAAATTTATTGAGACAAAATCTATCAAGTGCATGTTGCACTTTGACAGTTAGGTATACTTCTTAGGCCCATGAGCACTGACGTTCTCCATTTCTCTCTCCAGATATCCTGAGTATACAGCACAATTAATTCTTTATCCATTTGAAACACAGTACTCAAATCAAAGCATGAAAAACAATCATTAACAGTCCTTTCGGAGGAAAGCTTGTAAGGCCACAGAGGTCGGCCTCCTCTCCTCGCTTTCATTCAGAAGTCCACTCATTGTATAGCAACATTTTCTACTTCCAGACTCCTGATCAGTCATTAGGGATGTGCATGGCATACATAGAGCTCTTAATTTATACGTTACAGCTTTGTTTTAAACAGTACATGCTTTGCTGGGGTAGTCACTACAGTAGTGGGTTATAACAGAATTGAATGTTCAGCCAAATTGAATATGACGCCAATAAATGTACAATATAAAGGGGTGGACACAAAAGCAACCCTGTAAAATATAATGTCACTCAAAACAACAAACCTACATCCTCCATTAGCTCTGCACAGCTGTTACATTTCAGTTTTGTTGAGATACTCCATTGTTAGAGCCGAAATTATTAGTCAGACCGTCAGACGCTTAATCTGCAACAATTTCAATAATTGGTTAATCAATCAATTTGTCAATTTTCAAGCAAAGTCGCCAAACATTTTATGTTTCCAGCTTCTCAAATGTGTAGATTTGTTGCTTGTCCTTGATTAACATCATGATTAACTAAAAATCTTTGGGGTTTGGACTGTTAGAAGGACCAGAAAAGACTGTTCAAAGACATGAAAACATCACCTTAGGAAAAAATATTGATGTTTTTCACTATTTTTGATGTTTTACAAACCAAAAAAATCAAAGAATGGTGACTTAATCATGAACTGAAAATAATCATAAATCTGGGCCCTAAAGCAAGCAACATAATGCAGCTCAATACAGACATAAACACAGACCTTAAAACCTCATTTTTTAACATTATTTCAACACAAACTAAACAGAACAAACTTTAGTATTCTTTGCGCGGCTGTTGTATTGAGCTGCATTACAACACACAGGTTATTGCTGCTTGTTTCCACCCATACATAACAGTGCTTAGTGAAAATTGTGAAACAGACAGGAACAACAGCACCTTGCAATGTCACATAAACCTCAAGATGTGGCTCAGAAAGGAGCACTGATGTCAATGCAATCTACTATAACCATTAATGCCCTTCTGCAAAAGTTATCTCCACATTTATCTTTAGTTTTAAGCAAAACTGGCCAAAACTGACAAAAACAGAAAAGCTGTTGTAATGAATCTTTGAATCAAAATGTTTACTTGGTCAGCAAAAGAAGTAATACAGATGCACATCTGGAATATGCCTATCAATGAGCAATGGGTAAAGCTTTAGAGCAAATAGTTATATTTCCTAAATCATATGTACATGACTTTGATTTAATTCTTTCATAGGCTGGCTGGACAAACATTATAGCACTACAAACATGTCGACATTGGCCAGTTAAATCTATGCTGAGTACAGATAAAATGAAAGCAAAATACTCTGTTTTGGATCATAAATTCTTTTTTGTTATAGGCAGGCATTGGATGAAATGATATAAAGGAACTGGGGATTCTTTTTAAATGAGATAAGGCAACAAAGAGTATCGATTCACAGAACTGTAGCTTGCTCTGAATTACTTTCAGCAGAGTACCCTTCAAGTAATGCACATTTATCTGATAACTAAATAGCAGAAAGCTGCATGTCACCTGTGTTGATATTCAAATCCATCACTTTATCAAAATGTACTCAATTCAATGTGACTTTCATTTCAAACCTTCAACAGGATGAGATACAAGCTACCATGCAGGTTAGGGAACTTAAAATCAGACCCCTAACTTTTTCTGCTACTCTGTTTTTTTTTCATTACTTCTCCCTGTTTTTACAACTCACAGTTTAACAAATCATGAGTGTGAAAAAACACATTTAGATTTTTTTTTTCATGACGCTCCTTTGATAATGACCATCACCATGTATTCGTCCTCTGATTTGGCAAAGGCTTTGGCAGAGGTATCCACAAACTGCTGTGAAAACTCACATGGGGGGAAAGCGTGAAGGACTCCTCCGTGGTCCTTGTCACGGCTGCCCCCCACAGGGAGGCTGATGATGCCGGCCGCCTCCTTCTGCTTCAGGTAGGACACCAGGTTCTTCAGTGGTCTCTCTGCAGAGCTGCTGGCATCCTGGACCCCCGCGGTTTCGGATTTCCCGGGCACGGCCAGGAGGATGCTGTATCCGCTGGTGCCGGCGGCCTTGATGCGACGAGAAACTTCCTCCAGCTTGGGCTGATCCAGACGCAGGCGCTGGCTGATCTTCAGCTGGGATGACTGCTCCCCTGCGGAGCCCTGCAACAGCAGACTGGTCGCCACCGCCATGTCCCCCTCCAACATGTGCAGGGATGTGGGAAAGCTGCTATTCTTCAGCAGGAGGACACCCTGCCAAACCTGACTCAGTTTCTGTCCTCCAGCTGCTGGCTTTGACTGCTGGCCAGACTTGGAGGATGAGGAGGATGAAGGATGTTCTAAGCGATCCTCCTTCTTTGCTGGGCTCTTAGATGAGTCACTGGTTTTGTGTTTGCGGTCTTTCTCAGAAGAGAAACCTGGAGCAGCTGGGCTAAGAGTTTTTCTTCTCTTGTCTCCAAAGCCAGCGTTCTGGCGCTCTCTGACAGGTGAGGTTCTACCAGAGCGAGGCAGGCGTTCAGGGTCACTGTAGCGTCCCCCATCTCGGCTGCTCCCTCCTGGGCTGCGCTCTAATGAGCTGCCATGACGACGAAAATCACTGCTGTCAGGTGAATGATCCAGCCGACTGCCATCATCCAAATGTCTCCTTTTGCGGCTTAGCTCTCGGCCTTGTAACTCACGCTCACGCTCTATTGTCCAGGTGTCATGGGAACGCCTGTCCAGGCGATCGATGGGATCAAAGCCTCGCATCCTGTCATGGACACCCATGCCGGACCATTCAGCACTGGAGTAGGGGTCTCTGTCTCTGAAACGAGAGGGAATTGGAGGAGACCTCTCCCTCACTCTCACTGAGTCTGTAAGGCGGTGGGCAAAGGGCTCAGGAACAAAGTCATAATGTGGCAGGGGGAGGGGGAGCTGCACATACTGCTGCTGCTGGTAGCGGTGCTCTGTGTCTGCAAAGTCCACTCTGAGTCTCCTGTCAGGGCCGCCGAGAGGGAAGCCTCTCATGTGAGTACATGCAGCCTGAGCAGCATCCAAACTTTCATACTGGATATAAGCCCACACCTCACCCTTTCTGTAGTCTATAGTCCTGATGGTGCCAAAGCGGTCAAACTCCTTAGCCAGTGCAGCGAGTGGAACCCAGGGTCCGAGGCCTCCCACCCACAGCCTGGTCGTGGGCGTGGGTTTACCATATCCAATTTTAATTGGGTTGTGGCCTACCACTTTGCCTGACATGGCCACTTTGGCACGGTGAGCCATGTCAAGATTCTCAAACTTGATGAACCCATAGGTGTTGCTCTGGCCTCTCACCGCCCGCTTAATGTCCACCTCTGTTATCACCCCAAACCTGTCAAACGCCCTCCTCAGGTCGCTCTCCGTCACACTGACGTCCAGATTGCCCAGAAACAACGTCCTGTTTGCCCTCTGGTCATCCTCAGGGGTCATCAGGTCCTCCTCGCGGTAAACAGCACATTCAGGGATGAACGGGGGTCTATTCCTGGCATCATACACAGAAAAGTCTCTGTCTCTTTCCAGATCTCTTATGTGAGGTGGAGGGTGAGGAGGGGGGAGCCGGCCCAGCGCCAACTGCTGTAACCGGTAGTCTCTATAGCCCATACCAGTGGGAGACAGAGGTCGCTGAGAGTGGAGATGTCTGTGTCCTGGGGAGAAATTGTCTTTTGAAACAGGGGAGCGGCTCCTGAGTCTGTTCGTGTACACTGTCTCTATTTTTAGAGGCCGGTCGTACAGCACCAGCTTCCCGCGAGCGTGCTTAGCCGACCGGGCGTCATCAGGCCTCCTGAAGTTCACATACGCCACCCTGTCGTCGTTTTCTCGGCTTATTTTAACACTCACATCACCAAACCTTTTAAACTCGTGAAACAGTCCGTCCTCAATCTCCTCGTCGTTCAGCTGGTTGCCCAGTCCACTTATTTTGAGAGTCTTGTACTCGTTTTCAGGAGCTGACGGAGGCCGCGGCTCGCTGCGTGAACCAGACCTGGATGTTTCCGCGTCGAT